CAGGCAGCCCGGCTCCTGTCCGCAGCCCCCTGGCGCTGACCCTGCGGCGGTATCGGAGGACAGCGAGATCACCGCACCGCTCTCCTACCTGAGCTGGGCTCGGCGCTGGCCATACCCCAAGGAGTGTACCAGCCCTCCGTGCAGCCGTCCCAGGAGATGGAAGACAAAAAAAGTAAGCCTTAAAAAAAAAAAAAAAAAGTTTTGAACAGTCGTTAGGCAGAACTTGTGAGAAACTCTTACAGGAACCAACAGTCTTCACTTAAGCTCAAGTTGACTTTACTTGGCTTAAGTTGACTTTACCCAGTCAACTACATGAAATTTCTGTGCCAGAATGAATGGAAATGTTTTTTCAGTTATAGCATTAAAAAAGATTAAGAAGCTAACTTAGAAGTAAGGTACGTTTTATGCTCTCTGTGTCATTAGTGGTGATAGTCAGAAAATTGGTATCTTCAATGTGGCTGAAAAATGCTGCCTTACTTTTTCTCAGTGTTGTTCCAGTGGAGGTATCTTGCTTTATCCTGCATTGGCTGAGAAACAGTGGATTTTTTTTTTTTTTACCTAAAAAAGCCTTCATTTTTTTCCTAAATAAATTAGTTTAGCTGCAGTACTGCTGTACTGACAGCATTAATTAAAAAAAAAAAAAAAAAAAAAAAGCAACCTAGCACAACTGGAGTGCTGCAATGGATGGCTATAAACTCTTCAGAAGGGATAGGCAGGGAAGGAGAGGCAGTGGGGTAGCTCTGTGTGTTAGGGAGTGTTTTGACTTTTTAGAACTTAACATTGGTGATGATAGGACTGAGTGTTGATTAGGAATCAGGGGGGAGGCCAATGAGGCAGATATCATGGTGGGAGTCTGTTATAGACCATTAGCAATAAAAGCAGGGCTAAGGAGAATCTCCATCCTTTATTGGATGCAGGGGAAACGGTGACAGAGGATGAGGAAAAGGCTGAGGTACTTAATGCCTTCTTTGTTTCAGTCTTTAATAGTCAGACCAGTTGTTCTCCAGGTATGAAGCCCCCTGAGCTAGAAGACAGGAACAGGGAGCAGAATGAAGCCCCCATAGTCCAAGGGGAAATGGTTAGGCAACCTGCTACACCACTTAAACATGCACAAGTCTATGCGGCTGGATGGGATCCACCCAAGGGTATTGAGGGAGCTGGTGGAAGTGCTCACCAAGCCACTTTCCATCATTTATCAGCAGTCCTGGCTAACCGGGGAGGTCCTAGTTGTCTGGAGGTTGGCAAATGTGACGCCCGTTTACAAGAAGGGCCAGAAGAAGGATCTCAGGAGCTACAGGGCTGTCAGTCTGACCTTAGTGCCGGGGAAGGTCATGGAGCAGATGATCTTGAGTGCCATCACAAAGCATGTTCAGGACAACCAGGTGATCAGGCCCGGTCAGCATGGGTTCATGAAAGGCAGGTCCTGATTGACTAACCTGATCTCCTTCTGTGACAAGGTGACCCACTTAGTAGATGAGAGAAAGGCTGTGGATGTAGTGTACCTGGACTTTAGTAAAGCCTTTGACACCTTTTCTACAGCGTTCTGCTTTGAGAAACTGGCTGCTCATGGTTTGGACAGGCCTATTCTTTGCTGGCTGAAAAACGGGCTGGATGGCTGGGCTCAAAGGGTGTTGGTGAATGGAGTTAAACCCAGCTGGCAGCCAGTCACAAGTGGTGTTCTCCAGGGCTCAGTGTTGGTGCCAGTTCTGTCTAACATCTTTATTAATGATCCGGACAAGGGGATCAAGTGCACCCTCAGTAAGTTTGCAGATGACACCAAGTTGGGTGGGAGTGTTGATCTGTGTGAGGGGAGAAGGGCACTACAGAGGGACCTGGATTGATGGGCTGAGGCCAACTGTATGAGGTTCAACAGGGCCAAGTGCTGGGTCCTGCACTTGGGTCACAACAACCCCATACAAGGCTACAGGCTTGGGGATGAGTGGCTGGAAAGCTGCCCAGCAGAAAAGGACCTCCAGGTGTTGGTCTACTGCCAGATGAATGAGCCAGCAGTGTGTCCAGGTGGGCAAGAAGGCCAACAGCATCCTGGCTTGTATCAGGAATAGTGTGGCCAGCAGGCTGGAGAAGGGGAGGCTGAGGGGAGACCTTATCGCCCTCTAAAACTGCCTGACAGGAGGCTGTAGTGAGGTGGGTGTTGTACTTCTCCCAAGTAATGAGTGAGAGGACAAGAGGAAATGGCCTCAAGTTGCGCCATGGGAGGTTTAGATTGGATATTATGAAAAATGTCTTCACCAAAAGGGTTGTCAAGCACTGGAACAGGCTGCTCAGGGAAGTGGTTAAATAACCCGGAGGGATTTAAGAGACAGGCAGATGAGGTGCTTAGGGACATGGTTTAGTGGTGGGATGGCAGGGTTAGGTTAATGGTTGGACTTGATGATCTTAAATGTCTTTTCCAACCTAAATGACTCCATGATTCTAATAGGAAGTGGGGATTATGTAGGCTCAGCTGGAAAGCATGGGTCATCTCATGGCAGCTTCATGCTTTAGGGATAATAAGAAATGACCCGTGTAAATAAAACTTCCTCACACAGCGTGTTTTGTTTCAGCTGTGTTCTTCCCCTAGGTCTTGACAAGATGTGGGATGACTGTTTGAAAGTGGAATGACTATTTCACCACAATGCTGTCTCACACAGTGCTCCCAGTGATGCCTGCTGTACTAATTACTTACATAAATTTTGAAAAACTGAAGTAGCTATAACTATTTTAATTTCTCACCTGCTGTCTTACTTATTTGTCTATTCTGTACCTCTTGCAGTGCTGTGCAACTGCTTTGAAGTGGAGAAACTTGCCAGTTCCAGGGAGGAGAGGACTGAAGGTAGTATAATTTCGATTTATGGAAGGAAAGGGGGAGGTAGTATATATTTAGCACCACTTCTGATGTGAAAATGATAACCGGAAGACAATAAGTTTGCCTTTTATGATGTCTGTGGAAGATGTTAGTCAGCAGCACTACAGGTCTTTCGTAGGAAACGTGCACCCAGGTATTTTTTTCCAGTAGCTGGCGTAAGTAGCCCTGGCCTTGGCTGCTTGTTTCTTGCTCTAGCATTATGTCCCTGCACAATGCTGGAAAAAAAGAGATATATGGCCACAAGGATCCTATAAAGGGAAAAGAAAATCCCTCCAGAGGTAATGGCCTCAGCCAGGTTCAGAACTGTTGCCACCAGATGCCAGTCCCCACCCTGAGTCATCAGCTGGTGAGATCATTTTGAATGTTGACAAGGTAGACGCATCCTGTGTCTGTTCATTTGCTGTCCTTCTGGCTGGGGCTGACAACAGCAGCGTTAACACTGGAGAGGAGATTAGTGATGTGGACATCTGTCTTTTTTGAAATGAAAATTATACTATGAACTTCATATGCAATCTTTGCTTCTCCATGCAAAACGAAGCTTTGCTGCTGGAGTTTTGGGGCACTCCAGCATGAGAATTGGGGAACTATTTCCAAGGTGAGTGAGTGGTTTAAGCACTATACATAGTAGTATATGTTTTATTTCCTTTTGGCCTACACCAGATTATAACTGATGACCCAGAAATGAAAAACTGTTCTGTCACCCATTCTTTGAAGTAATCTATCCACCAGTGATACCCAGACTTAGTAAATATATTGAAATACCTGAAAACAGGTAAGAAATGAGGAGAGCAGTTTTAATCTGCAGTGGTGGAACTTCTTACTAGAATTTCTGAATGTGTATTTTTAAACACAGGTATTAAATATACTTATTTCTTGGTATTTTAAAATCGTGGTACTGTCATGCAGAGCAAAAGGGTGGGAATGGTCCATGCCGGGTGTTGGCTCTTGGAGCAGCAGTGTAGGTTTCCAAGAAGCATTGTGGGCATTTTTGTAATGGAACTTTGACCTTTCCAAATTTTTTTAAAAAGTTCTGTGAATATAAAAGCTCATGAAATGATGTTGAGAGTTAGTGACAAGTCAGTTGTTCTACAAGATAAAGTACTTTCAACGTTGCCTGTTGATATTAAATATAATGCTCTTAGCTGCTGGTGACATAAGCAGCTGGTAGTGTGGTGACAAAAGGTTGTTACTTTCTTCACTGCTGTCGTGACACTTGAGAGTAATCATAGACTCTGTACTGCCATAGCAGTACTTAGTTTCTGGTATCTTGGGCAATGGGAAGTCATTGTCTGCTAAGAAAAAAATTAAGGAAATACTGCGTTCTTGTAAAAAAAGTATTTCGTGACTGCTGGGGAGGCGTTGCTATAGCAGATTTGCCAACTGCGATTTACTGTCTGAAAGTGGAACGTGAACCTAGTATGGTGACAGTGGACTCTACCTCTAGAAAGGGAGTAGGAAAACAGATTTACATATTCTTTTGTGCTTGATCATTGAAGAAGAGAAACATTAACCATGAGAGAGAGCATGTTCTCTTTTCTGGTATCGTCTGTTGACAACACTGAACTGTATTCCCTTTTCAGACATACACTGTTAATGTTTTAACAAGAGCTTTCATGAATGGGCTTAGTACTTCAAAGGTACATACACTTGGAAGAGAAGATATGCTGAACCAGTAGCTTAAAAAAATGTTTCTTTAAAGAAAATGTTCTTTATAAATATTTCTAGTGGAGGAAGGAGGCACGATATAAGGGGTATATTAATTATTGCAACTGATAACACTTGGTGAACAAAATTTGTCAAACTGCTTTTATCTGAAAATATTTTGAACATTTTTTTCCCTAGAAAACATACCAAAAATATTGATGGGACAGAATAGTCAGCTTATATAGCTAAGGGAGGTTACAGCTATAAAAAATATCCAAATGTCTTTTGTTTAATACTATTTTCAGTTAATTCAGTTGAAAATATTCTCCTGTGTCACTTCTGTGAGCTTCAGTGGTGATTAATTTATAGTGGGACTAATTTGCTAGTGTTTGGAGAAAGGCTTCTACAGCACCCTTTGTAGACATGCTAGAAAAGTTACTTGAAGGGAGCGTCATGAACCATCGGAAGTCACTCCAGTTCATCACCTGACTTCTGTTTCACTTTCATGGTTAGGTTTAGGAGTAAACTTCTGAATGTTAAAGCCTGCAAAAGAAGACAGCTGACCTGGCTGGCTTTTCAGAAGTGCCTCCCAATGAAATGAGTGGGAGCCTTTGAAAAGTCTGCTAGAAGCTACTTGTGCTTTTTAGACTTCTTGGGAGCTATACAGACTTGTAAATGGAAATTTGCCTTTCAGGTGACTTGAAGACATTTTGGACACAATTGGGAGGTAGAAGAGTGGACGTCATATTTGAGCAGGTGCAAAATGTGCTGCTGGTACTAAAGCAAAAGATCAAGAATGGAACTGCCACAAACCAAGGTTTGAAATCCTTATAACTGTTAAGCTGGACTTCAGGGGAGCTGTGGCCTACTTTGTGTAGGGCTGTGTGATACCTGCCACAATGCAGATACCTCTGAATTTAAATTACTTAGTGTCCTGGTTTTGGCTGGGATAGAGTTAATTTTCTTCATAGAAGTGCTGTGGTTTGGATTTAGTACTAGAAGAATGTTGATAACACACTGATGTTTTTAGTTGTTGCCAAGTAGTGCTCAGACTACTCAAGGACTTTTTGAGCTTCTCCTGCTTGGCCAGGTGCATAACAAGCTGGGAGAGAGCACAGGTAGGGCAGCTAACCCAAACTGACCAAAGAGCTATTCCATACCATATAACGTCATGCTTGGGAGGGGGGTTAGTGGGTCGGTGGCGGGGGGACTGATCGCAGCTCGGAACGGGATGGACATTGGTTGGCAGGTGGTGAGCAATTGCGTTGTGCATCGTTTGTTTTGTATATTCTGTTACCATTCTCATTATTACTATTATCATTATTTTCTCTTATTAAACTGTCTTTATCTCAGTCCACGGCTCTAACCTTTTTTTTTCCTTCCGGATTCTCTCCCCCATCCCACTGTGGGCGGGGGGAGTGAGCAAGCAGCTGCGTGGTGCTGAGTTACCAGCTGGGTTAAACCACAACACTTAGTAGTTGGAGGTTTTAAGTACTTTTAAAAATAGATCTGCTTTTTAAAAAAAGACTCATAATTTCAGGTGCATTTTGCCATTTTCTCATTTTGCCTGTTTCAAACAATGTGTGGCTTTTAATCACATGGAACCAAAATGTTTATTCTTGAGAAGTAATGAAATATCTGCAGTGCCTGTGGGTTTTTTATCGTCAGAAGTCTTAGCGTTTCAAGCTGATTTCAGAGAACTGAATGGTTTGGGGGAGGGATTATAATCATGTAAGTATTATTTTGTGTCAGAGACACCATTATAACTTGAAACACTGGTAGCAAAATGTGACACCAATGCATTTAAGATTGTTCCTGATTTCCATGGAAATAATTTTCCTTTATCTACATGAAAATCAGAAGTCTGATAAGCCTGGAGCAGTACAGAGGTTTCTTTTTACTGTTTTAATTTAGAAAAACTACTTGGTTTTGTTTTTATCACCCGTGTAAATGCAGTTTATGAATCTTACTGCTTTTTTGTGCAAGAAAATGTGCAGTAGTGTAAGGTGCGTTTAAACTGGTATATCCACACACTGCGTTGTACAGCTTGCTCTAAATTGGTAGGGCAATTTTTTCTGTACTTGAGCTCCCAGATCTTGATTTTTGTAACTGTTACAGCAGTGCATAGGTAAAAGTTTAACTTGAATCCCCAGGTGACACAATGAATCTGTGACATAGTAAAATTTGAATTTTTGTATTCTTTGTTATGTAAAGGTTTCAAACTAAAATATTAACATGGATTTTGCTGACATTTGTCTGTCACCTTGTAATATTTATTGCATGGGGTAAGAAGTTGAGCCAGAACAGGTCTCTCCTTTGTGTTTTTACTGTCTGAAGGCCATTTCCACCAATTTAAGAGTAGCGTTAATTTGGTCTGCCAAGATCCAGCCCTTCTTAGCTGGAAGATGACTAGTCTGGCGACAAAGTAAAGAGAGAAACTTCCACTAAATTATGTTTAAGTATATTACTGCCACTGGAGGCTACTGCTTTGTGTGTGGAAACATTCCAACAGCTTTCCAAAAGCTAGAGGATGTTTGATGCTAAGTCACAACAACCAACGTGAGCTGTAATTTTATTGTAATTCATAGATCTATCTAATTCATAGATAATATCTATTAAGGACTGTGGGGCAAAAGGTTTCCAATGAGTCTTGCAGTGTTCTAGATTAGCATACTGAGAAAGCATGTGTGTATGGAGGACTTACAGGGTTTTTTCCCTTCTAGTAGTCACTGTTGTTATTGTCCCTATTATTGTTACTTAAAATACACTTCATATCTCTTTTGTTTTTTGCACAGAATGCTGGCAGGCTTGGGCACTGGTGAATGAAGCTAATCTAGGTGATCTCTTAACCTCGACAAATGGTACGTTCATCTCGATCATATTTATTTGATGTGTGTGTTTAATTTGTCTTGTTTTACTCACCAGAAGCTTATTCCCCCTCGTTGACATCAGTAAAATAGATGAGAAGCCTGTTTTAGCATTACAAGGGAAAAAATGTAATTATTACTGTCCTCAGGTACTAGACTGTAGACTCTCACCTGGGTTTGTACTTCTGTGGTTTGTGTGTACCTGTATATGGCTTGTACCAAGTGAAGAGAGTTTGAACTAGTAAGCTCTGATGAACCCAAGCTGGCTGCAAGCAGAGTCATTTTGTGCATGGCTCCACTAGCTGTAGTACCCTGGCATCCTTTTACGTCAAATAATGAAGATAAATCTGTATGTGTGTTTCATGTGTGTGTTGTCTTGATGCACTTTGAAAGTGATGTGGAAGATTTTAATGTGCAAATCACCTGATGGTCTGTGAAAAAGGGCGTTTCTGCCTCAAGTTTGTCAATGTTCACCTAAGTTTTTTCCCTTTGGGGAAAGGGAAGGAGGGAGAGGAGGAGCAGGAGAAAAAGTATGAGAGTGTGTTGTGTGTCAGCTAGTCGCTCACTTGTACATCTATATGTAATCACATGACTTTTTTATAAGTTATAAAAAGCAGCTTGGTTTTTTTAGTAGGGCAGTTGCTAACATGCTCTTTGTTAGCTGTAGTTCATAGCAATGCATTTCTAATGTATTTTGGCAATTATCTCTTTAGTAACTAAAGTAAGTTTGATTATAAATTGAAATGTGGATTGCTGAAGTTTTTGCTTGCATTCAATTTTTTTCAGTAGGTGATGTGTTTGATGGAGATGGCCTACAGGAAACCAAACCCAAATTGCAGCATCTTCAAACAGATGAGAACACTGTAAACTCTGTAGAAGGTGCTGACAGGTCAGTGTGTGTAATACTTTATTTCAGTTCCTTATTTGACCTATTCTTTAGCGTGTTTGAGAGAGATTTTGATCTCTCAGATTTCTAAATTCAAAGTTTTTAAACCCATTTTTGAATCCTGACAGTTTTCAAAGTGAAAATGTTTTTAACTTGACCTGCATGCAAAACCTGAAGTTTTGAGTAGTCTTGTCTAGTTTACCAGGTGAGAACATTGCAGAATAAAACAGGGCATTTGGTTGTGAATAAAGATCCATGAGTATTACCAGGATTATCAGAGTTAGGACTCAACAATTTTTGAGTTCTCAGGCTTTCACGGACTGTGCAGATTGTCAGGCACATGACTTAGTCTCTCTGTATTTAGCCTCAGGTACTGATTTGGAAGATGTGGGTAAGGGTATCATTCCTTTTTTTTTTTTTTTTTTTTTTTTGTTTCTAATGACCTTTATGTGTTTTAGTATGTAGGTTCTTTCTGGGAAGAAGCTGAGAAGCTGTTGCTGCTTTTTTTCTTTTTTTTTAATGCCATTGAACATGTCTTAATATGATATTAGGACACTAACATAATGCAGACAGTGATTTAGTGAAACCCTTGAACTTCTATCAATGGGCTGTTTCTTTCCTCCACTAGTAATATTGAACCACTAAAAACCTGAGCATTTTACTGGTTGTCTAAGATGCTGCTCTTTTTTTCTTTCTTTTTTTTTTTTTTTCTTTTTTTATTCTAATAGCAAAAAGGAGGAGGTGGAAAAAACAGGTTCAGGGAGTAAAGAAGCATCCAGTAAAATTCAAGATTTACCTTTAAACCTGCAGTTTCAGAACCACAAGTGCTCCAGTGTGTGTCTTGCCAACAGAGCTGCAGGCTCCTACAAGGGTGAAAATCCTCTTAAGATACCAATCTTGTTTCACTTTCAAAGACGCCATGCAAAAGCAGATTGCCTTTCGAAATCCCTGGATGTGAATTATAAAGCTCCTTGTGGACGAAGTCTCAGAAGCTTCCAAGACGTGCAAAATTATCTGTTTGAAACAGAGTGCAATTTCTTATTTGTTGATAACTTCTCCTTCAACACATATGTGCTGTTGGGCAGGAACACTGTAACTCCCGAACCCCTCGTGTTTGATTTTGATATTAGCAATGGAGTCGAGTCTGTCCCCATTTCCTTCTGTAATGATCTTGACTGCGCAAGATTACCTTATTTCAAATATCGGAGGGCATCGTGGCCTCGTGGATATTATCTCAACAATTTCTCCAGCATGTTTGTTGACTCATGTGACTGCACAGATGGCTGCATTGATAGGTAGGTAGAAAAATCTAATCCCAGACAAGTGACACGTGATGCCTCCATAGTAGGGTGGTGGTGGTAAGTGTGAAGGCGTGTAGTACCAAACAGTGCCAAAGGACCAATGCTGCTGGAGTATCTGTATTTTGTGTCATGCTCTGTGTTGACTGACACCACTGTGTCTTTGTCTTCTCCAGAACTTGGGTGCTCCTACCCATCCAGCCGTTGTTGTAGGGAAGGAAGCAATCAACAGGTGGATTACTGCGTTCCTTTCCCTTTCTTCCCAAATTGGCAGTGCTTCTCCTCCAGGTGGAGCTGGCAAGCAGATATGTCGGCTTTGGGAAAAGAGTGGGGAAGGGAGACTCTTGTGCCAGCAGAGGAAGGCTCGTTTTCCTGACAAGCAGGGAAGGCTCCTGCATGACAACTTCTGCTGCAGCTCCTGCTGTGGGATGGTATCCTGGAGATGGGGTGGGACAGCCTGGAGAGATCAGATCATCTGGGACTTAGAAGGTTACTGAGGGCAGAGAAGGAAACATCCCTGTTCACAGCCTCTACATCCCATCCTTCCCCTTGTCTAAACAGAAACTGTGGTAACAGAACACATTTATGTTCTGAGCAGTTCAAACGGTGTTGCTCATCATTGTCTTTTTCTAAAGCCCAGTAACTCTGGGCTACCTATTGTCTGTGTGAACCTGCCACAGTTAACATGCGAATTTGGTGATAATTTTGTCCACTTTCTTGAAGAGTGTTTGTCTTTGACCTGGTCTCTGCCTGTAAGTGTTACTTGTTTTTGAATCCATTTTGTATTATTGATAGCTAGGGCAGTTGCATGTGCTGGTGTGCAGTATAATTGCCTGTGACCCAACAAAAGCTTGAAATCACAGCCTGGTATAATGAAGCTTCAGTAATTAAAGTTATTCAGTTTCAGCTGAGTGGTGGGGAACAGCAAGCACGTAGCATGCTGCTGCTTTTCATTGAACTCCCCGAAGAGTTGAGATGCCTTTGGTTGTGCACTTTTGGGGTTCAGGATGTGGTCTGTTGCTGTTTGCACAAATGCTGTGGTTCTTTGGAGTTGTCATGATGTAAGATGATGAAGACTAGCATTATTGCTTGAGCTCTCCAATCTGCAGTGTGAAATTCTTCACTTCCTGCGGGCTAGGGTGGGAGGAAGGTAATGAAGTAGTGGCTAACAGGCTGGGATGCTGTGCCAGAACAGGTGATTTTCGTTCATTCATTCAATCCATTTGACAGTTTATAATAAATTTCTGGTGTACTTCAGCTGTTTGCATGTGCCTTTTGCAGAGCTTGGCAGAAGAATGGTGTTGGGGTGGATAGAACATGATTATTTTAAAGCACACATAAGCAGGCAGGAGACAAAGAGAAGGGTAGGGTGTCCGAAATGGCCTTGTGGAATAAAAGTGTGTGTGTGTAAATATAGGTGTACATATAAAAGTAAGTGTGGGTGGGTGTGTATAGTCAAGTACATTTTAAATTATCTAGATTTATGTTTAATTTATGCTTCCCCAAATACATTCTGAGATGTTCTACTGTTATCTTCTAGGTCAAAATGTGCATGCCTACAGCTAACTGCAAGATGCTGTAGTAAAACTTCTCTGTCTCCAAGTAGTAAAACATCCCATGGATACAGTTACAAAAGACTGGAGGGACCTGTTCCTAGTGGGTAAGAAACACGGAACTTACTAACTGTTGCTTTATTTGTATGCTCTTATTTTACTCCTGTAGTGTAAATAACTAAAATAAGCTGCAGTTTCTGGATTACCAAAACCTTCCTTTTTTGTCACAATTTTACTGACAGATCAGGAGGATAAAAGATAATTAATGTGACTTGAGTAGTAGGAGAGGGAGAAACACTTCTGTACTGCCGATATTACAATTTTCACAGCTTAGTTCAAGGTCCAAGAAGAGCGTGAAGAGTAACACAGTATTAGCTGGTCCAGGAGCTCAGGGCATATCTGGCCCACGTGCTGGTACATTCAGGCATGCTAAGGGGAGAAGAGAGAGGGAAAGAAAAGCTGCCACAAGGGAAGGAGGTCTATCACAAGGCCGTTACGGCATGTATCAGCCAAAGAAGTGGGAAGCAGTTGGGCTTTGCCCTGTATCTTGTCCATCCATTTGCTCTGCTGGACCAGAGTCCTAAAGAAATATCAGCCACCTGCTGTTGCCAGACTTGGTTATGTGTGACTCTTCCAAGAGTCTCCAAAGCCATCCCAGTGCTGCAGGTGTTCACCATTTCTCTTATTCAGCTCCTGTGGATTAATATGTGGTCTGGGGAAGGTGTCAGTAACCTCAGTTCAGGAGAGGAATTGCACAAGGTAGCTTTCTGCAGTAGCCAAGGGCTGAACCCACAAGCTTAAGGAGCCCCATTCGGTCCTTTGTTGCTGTGTGATGTTAGTTTATAGTTGGCACGCAGAATTAAAGCTGCCAGTGAACCCAGAAACAAATGCAAAAAAAAGCACAATTGTGAATTCTTTTAGAAGTATTTTATTAAATCCTAAAATTCATAACAGCTAGTGAGGTCTGGGCAGACAGGCTGTCTCTGCTAAAATCTGTTCCGGCATAGAATGAGGTGCTTCATAGGGATTTCTGCTTCTGTGTGATTTACTCCCATAAAATAAAAAAGGTAGCATTTATTTTTCTTGTCTACTTATACCAAAATCTGGCTGACAGGCTCTTAAAATCAATCAATCGGCAATCAAGAAAGTAATGAGCTTCAGAGCACTGCTGCATAATCAGTTTTAGCCAGATTCCTTATCTTTTCAGTCCACTGCCTTACTAATGCTCAGGAGGGAAATTAATAATAGAAACTTTGTTTTGGTAATGCATTCTTTTATATTGTGTTTTGTTTTGCTTCCTCTTGACAGAATTTATGAGTGTAGTGTGTTGTGCAGGTGTGACAAGATGATGTGTCAGAACAGAGTTGTACAGCATGGCATTCAAGTCAGGCTGCAAGTGTTCAACACAGAGAAGAAAGGCTGGGGTGTCCGCTGCCTAGATGATATCGACAAGGGGACATTTGTTTGTACTTACTCAGGTAACAGAAGGTGACCTGTGGAAGATGTATAGCATAATTCTCACTCTCCGGTGGTCTGTGCCCTGAATTTTTTTTGAGAACCAAACAGGGAAGTAAGGGATTGGAAGACAAATGAGTCAATATAATCTTAACTTGCAAGATGATCAAACAGACAGAAGAACCTTGAAGAACTCTGCGATGCAATGGTGCCAGACAAACAATCAAAACATTCTGGAGCAAAGCCTATCTCGGACTGTTGTTTTTCCCCTCACAGGTCTGTGCATCCTGTGCCAGGCCTAGTTTTTCTTTAGTATAAGTGCATTCATATTTTGCTTTCCCAGATAATGTTCTTGTATTTTTTTAATATAAGTTTGAACTGTGATAGTGAGTGTGACTCATCTTAGCAAACAAACAATTTAAAAAAAAAAAAAATTTTCTTTTTCTTCCAGGCAGATTAATGAGCAAAGCTGAAGTTCAAGTATTGGGAAATGCTGATCAAGAGCTGAAAGAGAAGAGTGTTGTGAATGACACAGGCCATGGCCTTTTTTCCAAAAAAAGAAAACTTGACTCTGATTGTTCAGACTCTGTGATTGAACTAGTGCAGACTGGCAAAAATTATATTCTTGACAAGCAAGAATCTTTGTCTCAGACTGTGGGTAATGAAAATAAATCAACCCTGTAAGTTTACCAAAGCAAACTTAAGCATAACAAAACTAATACTCTGTTATTCTAGGAAGTCCTTTGTAAAACTTTGAGTAGATCTGAATGTCCTCAGCTGAGGGTGTTCGGGTTTTTTCTCAACTTTTTTTTTTTTTTTTTTAATTCCTTATTGTTTCTTCTAATGGAACAGAGTTTTTCCTCTGTATTAATTTTACTTACTGTGTGTACTGCTTGGCAACTTTTCTAGAAATCTAGTTTATCCCCTGGCTGTACTGGGTTTCTTCAGGGCATTAATCATTATGCTAATTTGAAAGAGTTAATAAAAGATACTTGAGATAAATGATTTAAAGATACTTGATGACACAAGAATTTGATAACAAATGAGCCACTAACTGTCCTGTCCTTTGCTCCCAGTTTCTAAACCTCTTGTTCTTTGTAACAGAAGTTTTCCTGCCAGGAGTCTTAACCTTTCCTGTTAAGAGTCTGACAACACCTCATTTTTGAGGTGAATTATGTAAAAGTTCTGCTCCTGCTTTTATTTCACAGTCAGGGTCTTGTAGCCTATCAGGATTCCTAAAATAAAATTACTGCAAAATAATCATGTGGCTTTGTCAACAGCATGCCGTAGTCTTTTCAGAAGGAAGTTGGAAGCTTGTTTTCTTAATCTTTATTCCTTGCTCTGCCACACTACTTTGTGTGTAGCACTTCTTTTGTGCTACTCACGAATGATTGCAAATTCTTGCTCATTTCATAGTAGAAGATTATTGTGGATCTTTGAGAAGCACCATGAAATTGCAGATGGAAACTTTTTTAAATACCTGCCAGGATATTCTCAGTTGCATTTCAGTATCTTGGAAACCTAATGATTTATTAATTTTGTAAATTGCATAATTACCAGCAATCAGCTAGATTTTACTATTACTAAGTGGTGTTACTAAAAAATGCAGGGAAGCACTATTTTAAAGTTGCTTTTACTGTACTGCTACCTGAAATCTCATACATTTCCTTTCCTGAGAATAAAAATGTTTCGCATGTGGGCTGTGTAAAAAGCGTGACAGACAAAAAGGCTTTTTTATTCTGCCTTTTAAGAAACGACAATCCAGCTGATCTGAGAAACCTTGGAGAGGACATCAATGTGCTAATCTTGACAAGTCATTCACCCAGATTGCCTTTAAAAGGGCAAACAATGTAATAATGTAATAATGTTCCAAGTTCTTGTGGCTATTGCAACTTTGAATTTACAAAGGGGTTTAATCTTAAGATTAAATCTTAAGAAAGACTTAGAGGAGTAGCATTTGTTGCCACTATCAGTAGCCCAAAGTAGTACCATGATGTTTTTTATGGCAAAAAAAGTACATAAAAGTTTTAGGTTGAAAGTTTTCTTGAGTAAGAGCTGTTTCTTACTCCTAGACATTGTACAGATGTTAAGATTAGTTTTAAAATTGGTGTTTTCTACTGCACTCTAAAGGTAATCCAAACTAATGTGATTTTCGGTGTTTTAAATGTGTATGCCAGATACCGCTTCCCATCCTTCCTCAACCTTCTCCTGATGTGAAGGAGTGAGGTTCTTTTGTGGGAGAGTATTTTCTATATCTGCCATATCTTGACTGTCTCCCCCTATGTCTCCCTCTCTTATGTTTTGTCCCTGCAGCATCTTTGCTTTCCCGTTTGAAAGCTGCACTGTCAAAACTGTTGAAAGTGGTAGCAGGAAAAAGGCAAGACTCTGTCTGTAGGCAGTCTATTTTGAGATGATCTGATATAATTATAGTAAAACAGCAAAAAGATTGGTTCTCGGCAGGAGAACTGGGAAAAGATGTAAAAGCAGCTGCTGATCTCTGAATAAAGTATGAACAACTGTTTTTTTACAAATACTGTTGAGAAGCTAACCTAGGTCCTCAATTCTTAAAGGCAAAATAGTCACAGAACATGGGGCGAGGTCAGACTGCAGGCTCTGATGTAGTCTGTTCTTTATGAACTAGAGAATTCTAGAGAAATCTGTGTTGTGAGAATTACTTATGGGTCTTTTTGTCTTTTATCATTTCCTGTCGATGTTTCTGTACAGGCTTCATCCAAGGAATTTAAGTATTACAACCATGAGAAGGCCTGGAACTAGAAGTGTTGTTTTTCATCATCACCAGCTAAAAATGGTAATAATTGGCTTTAATAGATTAATTTTTCACTGTGCTGAATATGGGTGTTGATTTTGACTTTTTAATCTTATACATTTAAATAGTTCTAAGGATCTTTCTTCCTGAGATTGTGTTGCACTGTGAGCTAAGCTGGCATGCTGGAAGCTATACCCCATCATTTCTCCATTATCAGTCCTTCAGCATGTCCCCTGAGACCAGCACTAACTACTCTTACAGCCTTCCCTTCTCCACCCTTCACTTACACGCCAGCCTTGAGAGCCTTAAGAAATCATTCTCCCCCTCCGTTCCCTTCTGTAACTAACTGCAGAGTTAGGGGGTCAGAGTGATAATATTTTTGTGATGTGTCCCCGAAGAATGATATAGCAGAGAGAGAAGAAAATCTCAGGAGCTGGACTCAGTTTTCTCATGCAGCGCCACAGTTGGGAGAATTTGTTCTGACCTGGGTGTGAAGTGTTGCCAGCAAATACGTGCGAAGGAGGGAAACTGGGGTAAACTTACTCTGTAGGTTTCTTCATTACACTTAAGAGATGCATGTGGGATTTTCATGCTAATGTTTGGCAGTGCTGTCCATTCTGGAGTTCCCGTAACTAATCACCTTTTTGTGGTGGGAGAGGAGAGATCTTGCCACTTATGTTCATTTTATTGAAACCATGTAAAAAAGCATGTTTGGGCTTTGGTTCAGCGACTTACACAAACATGTTTAAATTCTGGTGAAATTGTTGGGACTTAAGGACTTATTTAAATGTTTTGTTGAGTGGGGAGCTCCTTCCAGGTTATTCTGAAGGATAATTTGAAATTAAGATAAATGTTGCATTGCAGTGAATGTATGGACTTCTGAAACTCAGCCACAGTCATGCATTACAGTAGGTTTGAAACTTCAACCCTAGAGCCCTAAAACCCACTTGCTATCCTGTGTTAACCCAGAGTTGCATACAGCAAGAATACATCACAGCCTTTTCATTATCTTTTATTCTATTTAAAGGATATTGATACACTGGTGCACAGTGCCAGCTCAGATGAAGATAATAGTTCTCAGATTCATCAGTCAAGCAAAACAAAACTAACCAGTGGAGCAAAGAAACGAAAAGAAAGTAGGTTTGCAGAGCTATAAATACTGCGCTCTTAGTGCACTTGTGCCCCATCAGGTGATAGACTTAAAATGTAGAAAGTGGTCTTCAGGTGTGGGCAGTGCTGTTCTCAGAGTAGAATGATGTTGTCCACATAATGTTTAGGCTGACTTAAGAGAGCTCAGCGGTACGGAGATTATTGCTGCCTTGCGTACTACAGTGCATCAACTTTGCAGGCAAAAGATTGCCCTGTACCAGTTAATTTGGGGACATGTTGAACAGTCCTGACAGCAGCTTCTCAAATACAGTGCAATTGTGGGAAAGTCAGTCTTGCAATTCTTACTGTGTCACACCCAATACACGTTCCAGTCAAGAAAAATTGAACAGGGTATAATGTGGGGGTGGGTATAATGCAGGGGCGGGGCGGGGGGAGCCTCAAGCTGAAGAGGCAGTGTGAAACTGATGCTATTTGCACGTAAATCTTGTTTCTGTCTTAATTACAGTTTGTGATTCTCTGGGGAATTGAGGTGGAGAAATCAATTTGGAGTGGGATTTGAGAAGAAGGGAGCGACTAGGTCACTCACAGGGGACTTGTGCAAGTGCTCTAGGCACCGCAGCAGGAAACAGTCATTTGCGGGAGGATTGATGAGAGGCATGGGGAAGAGTAGTTGTTTTACAGACTTGTAAGGAGCAAGGAAGCTGTGCACGTTTTGGAGAACAAAGAAGGTTGGGTGGATAAGAGGTCAGAGCCAAACAAGGGAAAGGCTTTGGCTTTAAACTGGTGTTGAAAAATAACTTATGTGTCCATTGACAGAATCCACTCGGCAGAAGAAGGAAGAACATCCAGTGGAAATTGGACAGACTGAGTCTGGTGACATGGACAGTGCAGAATGCAAAAGAAAGAGTCTGTCTCTGCAGGGTGTTGGTTGTGGCAAGTCAGGTGTGCTGGATGACACGCGTGTTGTGAGGCCATGTAAAAATGTACCACTAAAAGCTGACTGCGAAGAGGAAAATTACAGGCAGTCAAAACAAGACGCATTTTGTGAGGAGGCTGGTGGTGATAGGACACTTCTGAAGAATGGTAATGAAGAAAATATTTACGTACTGGATGCCACAAAAGAAGGAAATGTGGGCCGTTTTCTTAATGTAAGTAAAAAAGTTGCATGTATTCTCTTGGTTGTTTTAGCTTAAATAAATTATGTATTTGCATAAAGTAGAAAGCTTTTGCACATAAGCTGTATCTGTGGTAGGTGCATGACAAGGCAGGCTTATATGGTGCTCCCTGTACTCTGAAGTGACAGAACAGCAGATTGGGTCACACCAGCTGCTAGTGCCTCCGTAAGATGATGCATGCTGTAGTTTTTGGCACCACTAGGTTCCTGAGTGAAATATTGCCCAGTAACGAGTGATATCTTTCGCCTGAATTTTTGAACAGTATTTTTGGGGTGTCCGGGGAGCAAATGGCACATTTTGTTGAACCACAAGTCTTCTCCCAGCCTTGTTTTTTGTTCCCCAACCACTGTAAATTCTAGCTTGTGCTGATTTAGGATAAGTGATGTGATATTGTAGGAAAGACCTCTACTGTTCAATCCTAGGTTCAGGAAGTGGTCTGTCATACTTGTGTACATATCTGCTAAATAAGTCTCTCAATTTTGATTTGCTGAGAAGTAGTAATGACTTACCAAGTACTTCCAGCTAAGATGAATGTTTCATAGACACGTCTGCACGTACTCTGCAAGTAACTTAATTCTCTTCGTTGGCATCAATATGTGTCTTACAGCAAAATCCTTGCATATGTTTAAGCTGCTCTTCATTGCAGAGGTAATATGGTGTTAAGGTTAGTAGCGCATCTTGCTGAAACCTTTCTTCTGTATCCATGACCTTACATGTGTTTCTATATGCACCTGAATGTTTCTCTTTGCCAACATGCAGCATCATTTAATCTATTGCTTGCTCTCTAGCACTGCTTCCCTGGCTGACAGTGAGATACATCTGTCACATACTGATTATTTGTGGTGCATCCTGAATCAAAGATAAATTCTGCCCGCAAATTTCTGGAGGACGGCTTGATAAAATAACTTGGTTTTCCTAGGCAAAAGTACTTCCGTAATATAGTGGAAATAATACTCAAAAGAGAGAGAATTACTGCAAAAATAAGGGGCAATGGCATTGAGTAATAGACATTCTGTGTGGGCTGGAGAAGGGAAGGAAGAAAGTATCTTTACCAGTGACAGATATCTGGCACAAAACAGGTTCTTCAGCTGATGACATTGTGTTTCGCTGTTTCTAATTCAAATACTCTGTTTTACAGCACAGTTGCTGTCCAAATCTCTTTGCACAGAGTGTGTTTGTAGAGACTCACAACAGAAGTTTTCCATGGGTGGCGTTCTTCACAAACAGGTGAATTTTTGGAAGCTTTATGTTCTTTATTCAAGATGCTAGGGGAAAAAACAGTGCTCGGTTAATAGGAAATAATTATACTAAGAGGGGGCAGATGCTTGCATCATGAAACCATGAAACTGCCTTCTTATTGATTGTCTTCTTATTGTGCACTAAAGACTGAAAAAACACAGCTGTTGATAATCACTAATGAGTCTTTATTCAGTTTTGTGCTGAAATGTAAAGTGGGGAAGCGTAATTTTGATGTGTCTATTTCAGTGATCATCATCTTCATTTGAAAAATAAGTTTAACTCATCATGGTCATTTTAAAAGCCAAGATTCACTGATCCCAGTGTTGTGTCTCAAGGAAAGGCCAGCAGATCTGGGTCCCTACTGCAGGATTGGACCCTACAGGGTCTTAAGGCTGAGAGTCTTTGTGGGCCAAACAAGCTGGCTCCAGGCCTTCTCCTCGCAGCTACCAAGAGAAGCAGGACTTTGTGTAACCCAATGTGTCCTGGGGCAGGTGGTCCTAGGATACTTGGAAAACTTCATCTGAAAGCAAAAGATGTGTGTCTTCCCTTAGTGGATGACACAAGGGAGATACAGAGAGCTGGTGCCAGTGAGACACAAGAAGGCGGCAGCTAAAGCTGGGAGGGGAAGGATTAATTGTATGAATGAAGCTAGCCGATGTACATGACAGTGGGAGGACTAGGTGAGAACTTAAAATAAAAGGAGAGGATTCGTTCCAGACAAACCAACCCCAGGGAACACTGATCCTCTGTGGAGCCTTGCAACCCTGGTCCATACTGACACGGATGCTGTGGACCGCACTGTGAGGAGGGCTTCCAAGAACTGTGAAGGCAATGTTTTGAAATATGTCAGAAAAAATATTTTGTTTTTGCTAGAGTCTTTCTTGCTCAGGTACTTGGTAAAGAAGTGTGTAGCGGGGACTGAGGTCAGTGGAGAGAGGTAACAGTGGTCAGCAGAAGACAGTTAGGGAAGAGGAGTGTTGAAGGAATGTTCATCTGGCTGGCCCTCCTGCTTTCTGGCAATCACTGTTTTACAACTTTTCTACACTAAGGACTGCGTCTGGTTCATCAAGCTTAATTGTGTATCTTCCGTGAACTTGCCCAGTCACCTTTTTATTTGTTTTACATTGCTGGCCTCCAGAACATCCTAAGGCAGCCAGTCGCAGGTTGCAATTATGTGCTGTTTGAAAAGTCCTCATTGTTCGTTCTCAGCCTGCCGCCTGGTAATTCACTGGATGTCCCTTATGTCATATCCAGTGAGAAATATCAGAGAATTGCTCTCTTCTTTGTAATACTCCTATTTATTGTATTGTCCCTCAGCATCTTAGTCTCACGTACCTAATTGGGAAGTTCATTGCCCAAAATGAATGCCAGACTTAGAACTTCCTTCTCTTTCATGTACTGTCAGAGCGGCTCGTTCATGAAGAGCATGTGTTTAATGCAGAAAGCTGAAGACTCAGAATATAGATAGTGCAGTTGCATTAAAAGGTAGCTTGTAAGACCAAAGATGATAGTCTTCATCACCAGTGTATCTACAGATCTGTTCAAACATCAATGATGCACTGTACCTAGTAAAAAAAAAAAACAAACCTGTGTCCCCATGTATTATATGTATTCACTTATGTGGTTTTTTCCTTTTTGTTGTTTAATTTTCATTTCCCAGAATTTGACTCGAAGTAAGAGGAGGTTGTTTAGACTCTGACCTTATCGCACTGCTTGATAAAGTCTTTTCTCCTAGGTGTGGGTATTTGCACTCTCCATAGCTCTGGTAGGCAAAGCAGCAATGCATGTGCCAGAGACCCCTTATATCTCTTGGTTCTCTCCCAGCAAGCTGTCTCTGTGATGCTCCTTACTCCCTACAATTTTGGGGTTTGCATGTGAGTCATTGGTGACAAATTGTAAGCACAATACTGTTTCACTTAGTTCAAACAAATTGACCGAGTGTTTTATTTCTTAGGCATGTGAAAGCTGGAACCGAACTCACGTGGGATTACGGTTATAAAGCTGGAAGCATGCCAGAGACAGAGATTTCCTGTCAGTGTGGAGTTCAGAAGTGCAGGAAAAAAACCTTATAGGCAAAGCTTTCCTGCTGTCAACACATCATGTACCTGGAGATACGTATGCTGGAAGGGACTGCTACACGGTGAACAGTGCACTTAAGTCTGTGGTGCTAATTACATTCAACTAAAATGCCTTTTACCTGATCATTTCTTAAACTTACATTTAAATGTCACTTTTGTAGTTTACAGGTTTAGAACTGCTTGTCATAAGAGCAGGCATCAAACTTTTCCTAGATTAATTTCTATGCTCCTAGTCTTTCCCCCCCCCCTCCTCATTTGCAAGCAAAGCTCACAGAGCACTGGAAGAACTCATGCTTCTGTGCCCTCTGCAGCAGAGACATGACTGATGCAGAGCAACTGTTAGTTGATGTTTTCTGTGCCCTTCCACAATGCTGAGTTGGCAAAACTTGGTTTACTGAAACTCATATGAATGCAAGTCTGCCTGTTTTGGGTGCTAAGAATTATTAAAATATAACTAAGCCTGATTGATCCAGTGGGACAGATAGTCGTGAACAGATATTAATCAGAACAGCGTGCAGAACAGTGTGTTTGTGCTACAGAGTGAGCTGAGCAAGTCCTGCTGCAGGAGAGAAATGACTGGGTTTTGTTGGATTGCATCCCCCTCAATGTTTGTGACACAAAGAAATCCTTGAGAAATCCAGTGTGCCTCAATTCAGTGCCATATTGTGTAGTGTGGGACAGGTGGGCCACAGAAGTCCTTGCCATGTGGTTTGTTGGTAAGAGAGAAATAAGCTGCATTAGGTGACACCAAGTGCAGATGCAGGAGGCGGCTCTGAAGTGGAGCAAGGGATGGGTGTGCAGGCATGTGGCTTTTGAATGTGTTGGAGCTTTGTGCAAAGAAGGTGGTGTTGCGGATGGGTGATTTAGACTTCTTGAAGAACCACCGCCAAAAGTACCAGCAAAAGTGGTTTTATTGAATTAAGATGTTGTAAAAGCGAGACTTAACAAAGGTCGGTGGCAAGGTTCACTCTGTTACTGCAGAGGATATAATAATGATTCAAAGTTACCAATACAAAGTCAAACTTACCAAAAAACCAATCTTAGTGCACTGTAATTCAGGGTTATGTGTGATATCAGTCACTTAAAGATCTGCCGTTGGTAAGGGGTCTCTCAGCCTCAAGGAGTAACCTCGGGAGGCGTCCCAGCTCAAGGGGCGATCACCACCACGCAGCCAGCTGCTTAGCAGGGAGAGCTCAAAGAAGGCTCAGTCAGGCTGTCGTATTTATGGAATAAAGTGGTTGGCTCATAGTCAAATTACCAGCAGTGCCAAAGGTAAGCATGACACTCCTTGTACCCACACCTTTCTTTGTTCCTTGATAAATGATTCCTGGAAGAACCACCTGCTATTCAGGTGTTAATCGCATGAGTGGTGTTCCAGTGTCCAAGCCCATAGGCATCAATACTCACCACGTCACCCTGTTCCTGTGTGGGTTTTCTGAGAACAGGTTGGAACTAGAGAAATTCATGTCCCCATTGTGACCTAGGCCTTTGCTTCCTTTGGAGCCTGAACCAACTACAACCAGTTTGGTCAAGGAGTTGTGCATCCCTCACAGGTGGATTTAAAGCCTGTTCTGCAGTTCCCCTTACCTTCAATTCCTGTGGGACACCGTGCATGGCAGATCATGCAGAACTGTCTGTTGGTATTTGCTCAGCCATTATCAGATTTTGTCATTGGATTTCCTGCTTTGCAGAGCAGAGAGAAGTAGTATTTGCAAGAGCTAGTGATGATTTTAGGCAGTTGTATATGGGAGTGAAATATGCCTGTGAGAGACTGCCGTAGCCACGGATTAGAGATTTCGAGCCTACAGCTGTACTGCGAAATTAAAGAGAAGCAGGAACCCGTTCTCAACCCTGAGGCTGAGAGAGGAGAGTCACATTGAGACATGAAGCAGAGCTTTGGAGATGCCCTGAAATCACAGTTTCTGTTGGCCCGCAGGGGAGCATTGGTTTTGCAACACTGATGGAGGACTAGCAGAGGGGAATTCTGAAACAAATTTAGGCTTTTTCATAGGTACTTTGTTCCTATGGAATGGTGTGGGTCCAGTCATGCAGTATGGACATTGCTGACTCTCTTATGGTGAGCAGGGTGGTGAACGGGGCTGTCTATGGAGGGACAGTGGGGATGTGAGGACATTTAAGGGCTCCATGACCTCCAGGGAAATAAACATTAGCACTCAAGGTGAGCATACAAATGCAACGACAGCTGAAGGTCACCTATGGCAAAGGTATAAAAGAAAGTGGCCTGGAGCACATTACACCAATTTATTTCTTTTTTTTTCCCCCTCCTGATGGGCCAGAACACGCCAGAACAGCTGTATGGGGTTGGAAATCTCGTTTGTTTAATTATCCCACGCTAGGCAGAGGAACTTCACGTAGGCCTAAGCCTTGGTCTTGCCTGGCATGATTTTGCCTTAAGCCTGGAGTTGCCGATGTTCAAAGAGCTTGCAGAAACATTGCACCTGTGTGAAGCAGGAAGAGGAAATCTCTCAGGGGTCTGTGCTGCCTTGAGACCTGCGGAGCAACGAGCTGCTCACAGTGTTGTTTACGCCCTGCGCTTCGCTGCTGCGTGCTCATCTCTTTACAGGGGCAGTAGGGGGCTGGAGGGGATCAGCCTATGTATGAAACGTCAGGCTTACGAGCAAGGAAGGACCAGCAAAGCCCCGCGGCAAGGAGCCGTCACCCTAGGAAGTCTTCTATCCCCAGGTGCCTGAGGACAAGCCTGTCTTTGACCTCCTGACCACGGCCAGTGCTGACCAGCGGCAGTGGGGGGTACCCGTCCTTCGTGCGCTGGGTGAGCACCATGGTGGCTGGGTATGGAGCCGCTGCACTGCAGCTGCTTACTCCTCCACGGTGGAGGGACCAACTGAGTGAGGGGCCTGATGGCCGCGGGAGGCACATCACCTTGTCCTGGCCTTTCCCACCCACCTCTTGGATCAGCTGCTTGGTCAGATATCACCCTGCCAGCCCCACCTTGGGCCCTGATCCCATTGCCTTGGACCCCTCACCTGCCGTCCCTGGTGCAAAAATGAAGGGGAGGGACGGGATGATGCAGGATATCCCCCTTCCCCGTGGAGAAATCCTTTGGGAAAAGGCTGCCCGACAGCGGCCAGCAGGACTGCCGGGCGCGGGAATCGAACTCGTGGTGCCCAGCCCCGGCACGCCCAAAGGCGGGGGGGGCGGGACCGAGCGCCTCTCCCTCACCACGTGACTTCCTCGCCACAGCGGAGCCGCGGCCAATCAGCGCCGG